CACCATAGTGACGTTTAGGCGTGTCCTGGAATATCCATCTGTACAGTTTAGGCTCTCTTGTTCTGTTCTTAAGATAATAGCAGACCATATATTCTGCGGCAGATTCACATCAAGTTGATGGATGGTTGTGTCGTGCATTAGTTATTTTATTAAAAACTGTTGTTGTGTTTCAACTCTTGGTGCTGACTAAGGTCGAATGATGACGTTGATGGTGAAGGTGATGATACTGTAAATCATAATAGTGGTGATATGGCTTATAGTAGTTAATATTTTTTATAAACTAATATTTTCCATTTGAATGACCGCCGATGAACACTATGCAAAACTTGAATTCTGTCTTAAATTGAAACAGAAACATTTGGCATTACATGACAATAGAAAGAAATACTGTAATCAGAATATCGACCAAAAAGGAATATGCAACAAAAAAGCAGAATAGGAAGACAAGAGGATGAAACACATTGCAACCTTAAAGAATGGTGTGATGAAGATTTTGCTAAAAATGGTGATGGCGTTCATGACGACGCTTTGATATGTATCATCAACCGTTCATTGAGATGATGTTCACAAAATGATTGTGCGTTGGAGTTGGGATTCACCAGATCTTAACCATCTCAATTGCGAACTGTGTTATTTACTAGATATGAAATATTTTTAGATTTACTATATATGAATCATTTTGAATATAGGTCAATGTTTTTCAGACTTTCTACATATTGAATAGGAATGACTTTTTAAGTGACACAGGATCCTCCTTTCTCGTTTCTGCTATAGGAACAGAAGTCATCATAAGGGATGTTTCACAAGCAATGTTGGAACTTCATTGTTTACTTTGGCTTCATTGCCGGAAGCAGAAACGTCGTTTTAAAAGAGAAACGAAAATCTTAGGTCATTCTAAATTCGTTCGTATTGAAATGGTGGACAATCTAAATAAGAAATACCGTTGATATTGTAGATTTACTGCTGTCACAGTCTTCCACTGATTCCATTCGGCTCGGTTGAAGAACCATTTTGGCGCCTCGAAGATTAATTGCCTTGTTTACATAGTACCACAATACAGTATCCAGGCGAAAGAGACCGACACACTTTTAGTCTGGATACCTTCACACTAAATACATAAGCAAAAATTATTTTCGTGTGATCTTGGCAGCAACATCGTCATCATCATCATCATTTGCCTCTAGTCTTAGGGGGGACTGTTGCGCCAGTAGGATAATTGACCTCAGATAACCGGATTGACAAGCCAGGGATCGAAATCCTGATGCAGTAGTTGAATTAATATATTTTCTAGTTTGATGTTTTTTACATTCTGTCTCCTCGTGGCAAGGGAGATGTAGAGCGTGATGGAGCAGCCACCTCGAGTGCGAGTGAACCAATGTGAGCAGGTGCCTGCATGTGAATTAGGGCAGGCGATTGGCTTCCACGGAGGAGAACTCATTTGTCGACCGACTGAGCAGTGGCAGTCATTTAGCTGTCATTAGACAAGCTACGGAACTAAGACTTTTATTTCCATAAATATAGAATTTCTTCATTCTCTAGTTTTTTCTGCCACGCAGTTTGTACCGAAGATTGCTTGTTTCAGGTAGCAAATGTCCTTTGCTTGGCGATGTAAAGACAAGACTTTATAGCATGCGTTTCTGTCCATATGCCGAACGAGTTATGCTGGTGCTCTGTGCCAAAGGAGTAACGTAAGTTTTTTATTTATTGGGTATGTTGCATGTCGTACTGCTTTTTTTCACATTAGACTTTCACGTGGTAGAGGCGAGAATTTTTTTTGCGGGATGCTTCGTGAGCATAAATCTTCTTTAGCATCAAGCATGAGTCCTTATACGTTAAATCATTGTGTAACCTGTTTTTCATACGCAAAACTTTCCATGGTTACATGGATATTTACCAGAAATACCTAAGGAATTGTTGTATTCTCAAAATGAAGATAAAGAATACGTTTACTAAAACTTTTATATTTCACGCTAACGTTATACTTGCTGTTTGGTAAAGTTGACAACTTTATATTAAAGTTTTCATGGTAGAAGATAGTTTGTTATTCTACTGTTTATAATGTGCTAACCAATCTAAGGGGTTAGTTTCATGATTTGCGTCTTCTTTGAGAAATTCATTATCTGTAGAGTTCAAGAATGAAGTTTAGTAAGCATGTAACTATTCGTATTTGTTATTCATATTCATAGGCATTCTTTATCTGTACTGAAAACAGCATCAAACGCGATTTATTTATTCACAACGCAGATATTATGGTGAGTGACCAACACCGACATTTTAGCCGTATTCTCAAGGGCCTATTTGAAGGTAGAAAGATAGGTTGACTTCAGAAGTCTTTTCCATGATGCTGGCTAAATTGTTTCTTGGCGGCAAGACCCATCATAGCCGCCGATAAGTCGCATCTTTTGTTACGGTTGGATGTTGTCGCAGGATTGAATAATGTTTCTCTGATGGCCTGTTTAGCCCGTGTCCTTCTGTGATGATGACGGCGCATTTTGACC